ATTTGCTCTTAGTGTTGTTTCCTTCTATGCTTACTCATTTTATCTTTCCAAAAAAAAAAAAAAAAAAAAACACCCCCTCTTTCCACACCTGGGACATTTGTGAGGTTTCTGTCCTCCATGACTTCTCTGGTGCCTGGTCACTATTTCTCTCTGTGAAGTTTCTCCTACACTCCACACATTTGAACAAGTTCTCTCCTGTGTGGGATTCTCTGATGATCTATCAAGTGCATTCTCCGGTTGATTTTTTTTCCAAACTCCAGACATTCATATGGCTTCTCTTCAGTATGAATTCTCTGATGAATCTTCAAGTACTCACCCCAATTGAAGAATTTTCCCCACTGAGAACATTTGTTGGGTTTCACTCCAGTATGGATTCTCTGATGTCTTGTGACTGCATCTCTAAAAGCAAAGAGCTTCCCACACACAGGGCAATCATGCAGTTTCTCTCCTGTATGAACTTGCTGAGGATTCATCAAACAGTCTCTTGGACTGATACTTTCCACACACTGGGAATGTTCATATGGGTTCCCTTCCTTTTGAATTCCTGGTTTCCCATTAGTGGTGTTGTATAACTAAAACTCTTCTCATACTTGTTAAGAGGTTTCTCATTTGTGTGGTTGCTGTTCAGAATTTCTCCTCCTTTATATTTGGAGGGCTCAGAGTTATACTCTTCCTTTAGGGTTTTCCGATGTTTATCAAGCTATGAATTTTGGGCGTTTACCTCTGACATGGGATTCTCATCATGGTCCTCCCCAGCATGTACGATACCAAATTTTGGCCTGCAGCAATACCTTTGGCCAACCTTGGAAAATGAGGGAATGCTATCACTTGTATGCTTTGTAGAATTTGAAAAGGCTGCAAGAACTTCAAGGCACCCATTCTCTTTCTCCATTGACCACTTCCTCTGGTTCTTTTTGGACTCGCATGTCTTCCCGCATTTGGCCTGTCTCCAGGATGTCCCCATAGCTCACCAGCAAGGGGCGGCATAGAAATGTTATAATAATAATAATAATAATAATAATAATAGCTCACCAGCACGGCTCTCCTAAGGAATTCCACTGACTAGGTTCCTTTACCATGGCAATCTTCCAGCTTGAACTGAATTTCCTTCCTATCACCTGAAGAAAACAGAAAATCATTTTGCCCATGTCCTGGTGACCTCTTTTCAGTTTACCTGCAGCCCTATTGGCCTCTCTCTTCCTACTAAGGTATTCTCTTTTTTGCTGCATCCATGTTTTTACTTCTATATTCTTTTCAATCTTCTTTTATCTGGAGATGCTCTTTTTAAACTGTAGAACACAAAGCACAGCTTAAAGCATTTTCAGATAAATTAGTTAAAATTGTAATTGCAAATAAGGACTTGTAATGTTATTTTTAAATGAAGGAAGATGGTTCTGAGATCTGCCAATTCCTTCACCGATTTGTGCTGCATATGAAAAATACAGCAGTGTCTTGTAGTTTGAACAACTATTAACTTCGAACGATCCAGAGGCTGAACATTAGAGTCAAGATAAAATCGCTCTGCAGTTTGAATGATGTTTCTAAGGTTGAACTGTGAGCAAAGTGAAAAAAGTGGTCACAGCAAAAGTCATTGGTTGTGCACCCAAATTGAAAAAATATATATTACAGTAAAAGACACATTGCCATTAATCCTCAAAATACTCCCTCTCGCTTTGAACACACTTATTTTTCTTGCTACTTTCTGAAGCTGCTCTGGAATTTCTCTTTCGTGTCATTAGCTGCATTGTCGCGGCTGCCTCAATGTCCTGAATCGATGCGTCTTGAATCGATTTGATTTGTCTTGGATCAATTCATCTTGACTTAAATCGATTCGGCTTGAATTGAATCGATTACTGGTGGCAGATAAATATCTTTTCCCCTAACAGGGTATCCTTTTTCCAGATTCCTATAACCTCCTTGGCTTGGTTTTAACCTTTCAGTCATTTCCTCCTCTGCAAGATCCTCCTTTCCCTTTCTATCATTCTCTGTGATCATGTCATTCTCTTTTCGCCTGCATCTTTGGTTTTTAAAATATAGACTACGCACCGCCTGAGGCTCTAATTAATTACCAGCATCCATGCAAATATGGACAAGAGACTGGATTTAAATTTTAAATGAAGGAACCCAGTTCCACTTTCCGTAAATACTAAAAGCATACAACATACGCCCGGATTAGCTGTGCTTTCGGCTCTCCTTCTGCTGGAGGGATGAAATCGACCTCCTCTCCCCATCCAAGCATCCCTTTCCACAACGGGCCGTCCCTAGGAGACGCGCGCACACGATCGCCTGCAGGCTCCTGCTCGCTCTTCCTGCTGCTCCGCGCCCGGAGCCCGGAGCCCCGGGGCCCTTTCCGGCCTCGCACTGCCCTGCTCAGCGGGAGCTCCTCCCGTGCGCCGCCGAGGCGGCTCGCCTCCAGCAGGGGCTGCGCGCCCGCCGCCCTACCGCCAGCAACGAGGGGACCGGCGCGGCGCTCGGCCGGCTGGCGGAGGGGCGGGCGGGCTTTCCCTGCGCCGTCCAGGGGCGGAGGGCGGCGGAGACCCGGGCCCAGGACGGCTCGCTGGAAGGGGGGCGGGGGCGGCTGTACTCCGGCAGATCCCACCCTTCGCGCTCCGCTTCCTGCTCCTCCTTTTCCCGTGATCGGGGGGTTCAGTGGCGGCGGTTGCGCAAGCGGAGCAATCCAGGAGAGGGCGGTCGTGTGAAGCCCGGCTTGGAGTCTGCAGCGCCGCCATTAAGCCGCCGACGGAGCAAAGAGGGAGCGAGGCCGAGAGAGGGAAGGAGCGGACCGGCCGTCTCCCGCCGCTGGCCGTCCAGGAGGGCTGTCCCGAGGGTGCCCAAGGATTCCGGGTGCACCTTCTCCCCCCGCCCGGACGGAGTCCTGTGCAGCCGCCCGACGGCACGGAGCAGCCCGGAGAGAAAAATCCAGCCAGCCGAGCGTCACACCGGCCTCCTTGTCGCTCCCGGTACGGTTGGCGAGCTCCGCCGAGCTCTGGCTGTCGCCGTCGAGGCGGAGAGCGCCACGTGGGGAGCAGGCGGGCGAGCAGGCGAGCTATCCTGGCGCCTGCAATCTCAGCCGTCCTGGGCGTCAGACCCGCCGGTGAGCACCATTCAAACCCGCCCTGAGTTCCCCGATTGATTCATCTCACAACAGCCCTGCGAGGGTGGCCGGCCGAAGTTTGGAGGCCGGGGGGAGATTCGAACCGAGGTCCAATTCTTGAATCGCTACACCATGATAGCTCCATTTGTTTATTATTGCACTGAGATCCTGCTTTTTTCCCTCTTTGCAAGGAACCCAAGGCAGCTTGTGTGGTCCCCTTTGTTCTTTTGCCTCACAACAACCCTGTGAGGTGGGGTAGGCCGAGAGTCAGAGATTGGCCCAACATCCTTCTTGGCCAAAAGGCGACTGGAACTGGGACCTCACTGCTCCCAGACCAACACTTCAAGCACTGCACCCGACTGGCTTTCTGTGCATAGGGTTGCACTTGAATTCAGTCTATGCTTGCCATAATTGCGGACTAGGGAATGGAATCGTTTCCTTGATAGAAAGCCAGGGGAGAAATTACATAAACACGAAACATGGTGTAGTGCCTAGAAAGGCAGTGTCCCAACCTCGTGCTGTCCTGATCTTTGGGACTAGAAAACCATAAATCACAGCCAGAAAAATTAGTTGTGGATAAACTCACCCAGATTGCACCAGGGACCCAAGGGCTGGGTCAGAGTGTTGGCCTGGGACTGGGGGAGACCCAGGTCACATCCGTTCTCAGCCATGAAGCTCACTGGGTGACCTTGGCTTGGTCACCTTAAAAGCTACCTTACAAGGTTGTGAGGATTAATCCAATGAGTGGGGAGAACTGTGTGTTGCTTAGACCATCTTGGGGGAAAGGTGGGTTATTTCATTTAATTAATTATGATAAGATCAGTTAGTATAAATGGAATGAGCAATATAGAATTGCCCAGTTTGTGTGCTCGTCCTCCATCTCTAATACAGATTTATTAATGGCCAACTTGGCAGGCTTGTCATAAGTTGATGTAAATTGCTCCATCTCCCCCCCGCCCCATTTGCAATATGGAGCACGAAGACAAGACGGTCCTTTTCTCCACATGTATTACAGGAAATATTTCCAGGGCAATTTTCTGACGAATTTTAAAAATAATAAAAGCCATTTATGCCTTCAAAATATTAGCCTGAAGATGCAGAAATTCTCATTTTTGCATTTGCATCTCTGTAACTGGGTGAGGTTGTTACAGGGGAGGCAGAAGAGAATCTTGGCGGCATCTGAATGATGACGGCTGCAGGAGAGTGACCTTCCTCCCACTGCCTCAGTCTTGCCGATACCCCGACCTGCGAGCAAGTCCCATTGAACTCAGTGGGGCTTACCTCTAACTAGCCATGTATAAGATGCACTGCAAGAAGTGAGAGGCAAGGCCTGCCATCTCTCAACCTCACTCCCCCATCTGCAAAATGGGTGCATTAATACCATCTTACTTGGTGGGGTGCTTGGAGGATTAAATGTACTACATAAAGACTTCACCTGCATCCCTTAGAATCCTGTCCTTTCCGGGCTCCTTTGCGTGTTCCCTTCCTGGAGCCCATTTGTGCCGCACACACATTTGTTTACTTATTTTATACTGATAATTTTAATTTTATAGTATTATGTTTGTAACTCAATGTATTTTTTGTATTTTTGTATTTAATGGTAATTTATTATGTTCTATTGTATTTCAATGTATTTTATTGTGTTGTAAGCCGCCCCGAGGCTTCGGCAAGGGGTGGCATAGAAATGTTATAATAATAATAATAATAATAATAATAATAATAATAATAATAATAATAATATACCTTGTATAAAGCACCAAGAGGCAAAAGAAAAAGAAGGGCTTAAGTTCTTCCATAAGAAGTAGTTGCTAAAAGTTGGACGTTGAGAGAAATGACTTGGTTCATCCTGGCTTCCTGCCAGAGGAGAATGTACAATAATATAAATGGAAAATATGCTTTATTTACAGGGGTGTATCCCTCTGGTTGGAAAGGAAGAGTGATTTTGCCACAAATGCATTGCTAAGGTGAGTTGTGAACCCCCCACTAGCAGTGGTAAGGCTCCATTTTTCATCCCCCCACCCCCCCAGACCCATATAGGCTGCTCATATAGGATTCTAAAAAAGTATTTTTGAGGTGAGTCATCCAAAGCTGATAAGAACAGAAAAGTCATCTGATAGTGAGTTAGGCCCTTGGTCCATCCAGGCCAGGTTTTTCCCAGCCATAGCTGGGGATGAACCTGGGATATTTTGCATGAAAACAAGGGCTGCACTGCTGACCCCTTCAGTCATCTCCTTTTCCCCAACCTCTGTGCAGCTCCCTGTGATTTAAGAATCCACCATGTGTTTCTTTAGCAGGAAGACTCTCCCCTCACACTGCAGGACTGTTGGAGCTACTGGACAACTCTTTTCTTGCTTGTTCTCTCACACTTCCCACAAGAGTGTTAGAAGGCCCACGAAAAGGCAAAAGTGGAGTCTTTTCCTCTCTGTGTGGTTCTAGCAAGACTTCAAGGGCTGGAGAAACGTTTTGCTGGGAATCCATCTTCAAGAAAAGCCACTGCTAAACCGAGGCTGGCAGGTGCCAAGCGAGGAGTGGAAGTGATGAAGGAACAAAAATCAGCAGGCCCAGGGGTAGAAGTCAGAATGGATGTGGTTGGAAGAGCTGCCGGAGCAGCTCGGACGGAATATATGACAGAGCAGCCTGGATGGAGGGCAGTGCAGGAGGGAAAGGGGGAGCCATCCAGGGGGATGCAGCAGCGCTGGGAAGTCCAATGGCAGGAGTTCCTGAAGACGCTGCAGCCCCCCCACATGGGGTGGGGAAGCGCAGCGACGGCGGAGGTGGCCCCCTGGGAAGACGCCAAGGCCTTCCTGGCCTCCTTCGAGCAGGTGGCCAAGGCCTGCCGGTGGCCTAGGGCAGAGTGGGCGGCCCGGCTCCTGCCGGCACTGAGCGGCGTTGCCGAGCAGGCCTTCAGCATCCTGGAAAGCAGGGATCAGGAGGACTACGGGAAGGTGAAGGCGGCCATCTTGCGAGGGGATGCCCTGCGAATGGAGATGCAGCGCCAGCTCTTCCGGCAGTTCTGCTGCCAGGAGGTGGAGGACCCACGAAGAGTTTACAGCCAGCTCCAGGAGCTGTGCCATCAGTGGCTGAAGCCAGAGCGGCACAGCAAGGAGCAGATCCTGGAGCTGCTGATCCTGGAGCAGTTCCTGGCCATCCTGCCATTGGAAATCCAGAGCTGGATCCGGGAAGGGGGCCCGGAGTCCTGTGCCCAAGCGGTGGCCCTGGTGGAGGATTTCCTGATGAACCAACGGGAGGCTGAAACAAGGAAATGGCAGGTGAGGCTTTCCTTGTCTGAGGCTCTACAGAAAGTGTGTCCGCCTCATCCATTAGAAACAGATCAAATTGTTAAGACAGTCCAAGACTAAAACCCTCGAGAGCTGCATAATCTTACACACTGAATACAGTTACAGCATCCTTCCCATACCTAGTGTTCTCTAGAGGTGTGGGACTACAGCTCCCATCATCCTCTGCCAGCATGGCCGTCCATTCAGTTCCTGTGCAAAATCAATCATGTGTAATTGCTGTTGATAGGCAATCAACATTAATGACCTCTTGTTAGCAATGCCTCCCAGAAAACCTTTTGTATTATGCCTCGTCTATCATTCCTCCAGCAGCTTTCTAACCATGCGTAAGTCTTCGCGGGACTTGCTCGCTTATGGGATGGCAACCCTGCAAAGTATGGTTAGAGTTGCTGCCCAGATTGCCAACTGCTCAGGGAAACATAGAAATTGAGCAAGTCAGAAGGGGTCTCCCGGGCCATCTAGTCTGACCCCAGGCTCCAGCCGGCTCCACTCATGACATGCCCACCATGTGCGTGTCTAGCCTATCCTTGAACACCCTAGGGGCCCTAACTGTCAGGAGGTACTTCCTGGCATCCAAATTGAACCTTGATTCCTTGAGCTTGGCTCCATTGGAGCGTGTCCTGCCTTCCTCTGCAGGGGAGAACAGGTCTCTACCCACCTCCGTGTGAGACCCACTTGTGTACCTGTATGTCGCCAACAGATCCCCTCTGAGTCTCCTCCAGGCTGAAGAGACCCAGTTCCCTCAGTCTCGCCTCATACCCCATCCCCTGCAAACCGGCCACCAACCTTGTGGCCCTGTGCTGCACTGACTCTAACCTGGCTGTATCCTTTCTGTAACGGGGGGCCCAGAACTGAACACAATACTCCAGTTGTGGGTGAACCAGTGGTATAGAGTGGTAGTAATACCTCTCTTGATCTAGAAGCCACACTTCTGGCTATGCAGCCAGGGGTGGCGTTCGCCCTCTTGACTGCCGCATCACTCTGCTGACTCGTGTTCAGCCTGCAGTCAACCAGCACCCCAAGGTCCTTTTCACAAGTGCTGCTCTCCAGCCACTTCTCCCCTAACCTGTATTTATGACACCCATTCCTATGCCCCAAGTGCAAGGGGCAGACAGACCAAGGGGAAAAATTGCTCTGTCTGTTCAACAGAGGTTTGATTTTCAGACATTTTATTATTGGCAGATAAAACTTTCAATGGCTTGGAACAAAACACAGTCACTTAGCATTTACTGCAGGGCAAACTACTTTTCTGGAGACAGTTGCAGGGACCCCTTGGAAGGTTGCAACTCCAGTTCCCAACTTCTAATCTTTGGCAGGGCGACTGTATCTTAGCAGTTGCATGCCAGAGTAGAAAATCCATAGGCATAGCTTTTCCCAGCATGTAAATCAGCTTTCCCCCTTCGGATGTGTTGGACTACAAGGCCCATCATTTACAGCCAGCATGGCCAGTAGGGAACGAAAGTTGGCATCGCTCTGTGCTGTTGAGAGTTACGGCTGGTTGCTGCATCTCAAGCCTCCTCTTGAAAACTGGTAAGTTCCTGGGAGCTTCCTTTGTCAGAAATGGTCCCTTGAACTAGATCCAAAAGAGAATTGGGTTTAGGGGTGCTAAATCCTAATATGCACAACTGGTCCTTTACCTCCCTGCTAAGTAGGATTGTCCTCCCTGTTTCAGGGGCCACTGCAAGAGGTTTGCATCGGCTCCCTAAGTATGGAAGAAGAATCCTTAGATGCCACACAGGGACAAAACTACAAAGAAGCCAAGCAGATGAGTGCTGGAGAGATCAGCTTGCTGGGTGAGGCTTTATTGATTCACTTGCTTACCTGCTCCTACTGCCTTTTCTTCCCCTTGCAGGGAAACCAAAGGAACTTACAGGATCCTCCTCCTATCTATTTTATCCTTGCAACAAAAACAACCCTGTGAGGTAGGCTGGGCTGAGAGACAGTGGCCAGCCCAAAGTCATCCATGATGCTTCATGGCCAAGGGGGAACTTGAATCCAGGTTCCCAAGTGCCGCTCCAACACTCAGAACAGGACTCCACGCTGGCTCTCTTCTTCTGAAGATTCTGTGAGTCAGTCACTGTTCTGCATCTTTGTTGGGTCTGGAATGACAGGATGTTCCCAGGCTTGTGGGAAAGGGGGATTCAAACACACGCAGCTCGGGGGATCGGAAGAGCTGCACCAGCAGAAATTTGCTTCACTGTTGACTTGTTAAACAAGATGGAACAAACTGGTCAGTTCGCTATTCAGTAAGGAATTAGGACATGGAAAAGACATACGGACCACACCCTCGCTACTCAGAAACCCGCGGGCACGGAGGCTTCCAAGATTCCAGTGCTCTGCCAGGCAGAAGCTGGCTGCATGGCAGGAGAAGTTGAGCCAATCTTTGCCTGTCTATCTGCCAGTCTGCACTAGAGTGTGGGGTTTTGAACATGGCCAGCAAGAGGAGGAGGAGGGAAGGAGTTTGGAAGGCGCTTAGGCCCCTCCAGTCCTTCCCCTTCCCAGTCACTAGAATGCTTTCTCTTCACACTTACGACATTCTCTTCCGCCGCTTTCAGCCTTATCCCCACGACAACAACCCTGGAATCCATGGAGGGACACGCCCCTATATGACAGGCCTTCCCAGATTAGTTTCCAGATTCATTTTAGTGCATATGGTTTTTTTTTTATCAAAACTACTGTTGGAGCGTATGGGAATGGGGCAGTATATAGAAACCTAAACCAGTAAATAGATAAACTGGTACACTGACAATTGGTCCTGCTCAGTCGGTGTCAAAAGTAGGCCTGGGCGGGCGCTTGCCGAGGGCCTCTCCCCATCTGGGATTGTCTGATTGCAGCCCCCTGAGTTACTTCTCCTCTTCTCCAAGGCAACCTGCTTATTTACCCGCCTCTCCCTCTGCCCAGACAAAGGTGAGGAGGAGGAGGAGGAGCAGGGGATGCCATGGCGTCCTTGCTCACTGTCTCTCTCAACTGCCAAGCAAGAATGATGAGAAAGAGGAGGAGTGAGAGCAGCCAGTGATGACGGGGTTAAAATGGTGGACTCACTTCCTCACACCCTGGGGGTGTCTTGTCATAAGAACATGAAAAAGCCACGCTGGGTCAGACCCAAGGTCCATCCAGTGCAGCACTCCAGGCACACGGCGGCAAACCAGCTGCCCACAGGATCCCTGCAGCAGGAGGGGTGTGAGCGAGACCTCCTCCCGCCCAACTTCCCCAGCAACGGGTGTGTGCCGGCAGGCCGCCTCTAGGGAAGGAGGGAGCACGTGGCCAGCAGGGCTAGTAGCTACAGAGAGCCTCCTTCCTCATGGATCTGCCCAGTCCCCTTTTAACGCCATTGAGATTGGCAGCCATCCCCACTTCCCACGGCAGCGAGTTCCACAGTTTAACTATACGCTGTGTGAAGAAGCCCTTCCTCTTATCAGTCCTAAACTTGCTACCCACCAGCTTCATGGGATGACCCCTTAAACCAGAAGGGTGTTATGTGAGAGGTAGAGAAATCTCTACTTTTTCATGCGGTGCATTATTTCAAGCACCCCCGTCATGCCTTCCCTTCCTCGCCTTTTTTCTGTGACCCTTGATGGTCAGGATGAAACTGAAAAGAAGGACTGGTAGGAGAGTGACGTGGAGCCAAGCAAAAGACGTCGAAACGGGGCATGTGGACCATTCACAGCTGTGCAGAAGAGGACAGAAAAGGCGCTTCCCCTTTCTCCCCTCCCGCCCTTTCCTCTTCTATGCAGCTCTTAAAGGGGCAGAAAACCCACTTTATGTCTGGTGACCCCCAGGCTAACAGGGTTGGTAGATGTCCTCCCGCTTCTAATTCTCTCCTTCCCGCCCTTTGCAGGCAGCGGGATCAAATGTCCAAGCCACTCCAGTTTCCTGCTTCCTCGGGAAGGACAGGAAATGGCCGAGGCTGGGCTGAGCGAGGTACGTGACCTCACGGTGGACCAGTCAGCGAAGTGCATGGTCAGCATCCTCTGGGAGAGTACAAGGGACGTGTCTTCCTTCCCCAGGACCTGTCCGGGTGAACCATTGTCGCTATTTTCCATTTACTTGGATATGGGTGAAAATGGGAGGGGGAGCCTTTGAAGACGAGCGTGCAGTGGAATCGGCTTGGCAAACGGCTGTGCCTGCCACCCGCCCCACGCTCTTTCCAGCACCAGGCGAAAACCTTTTCATTCCCCCAATAGTTTGATAGTTAGATTTGTATTCCCATTTGTATTATATTTTTACTGCACGTCTAAGATTGATGAGCTGCAGTAGCTGTCGTATTGTATTTTCATGGTGATTTTATACTGATGCTTCTATATTTGTTATTGCATTTTGATTTTCTGAGCTGATGGGTAGTATAAAAACATAATGAATGAGCGAAGAAACGAACGAATGGATTGCCCTCTTGCCGTCAGCATCTTATAGAAAGTCTGTTATCTGTTCCTTTGGCAAAATGGCAGGTGTGCATAATTGATTCAAGGGAAGCTCTCTCTAAAGCTGGGTTCCTTTGTAAAAGATCTCTCACTTTTTAAAGTTGCCTCTATATCCCTCCCCCACCATTATTCTTGAATCTGTATCTTCCAAGACTTCACACCTGATATTGAAAATCCAGATCCTAGCAGCTGAATGCTGTGTATGTCTAATTTTAAGTCCCATGGAGCTGAATGGGATTTACACCTGGGTAAGCTAGGATTGCAGCCACACTGAACCTAGTGCACTGTAAACCAGGGTGATTAAGAGAATAATCCTAAAAACACTAAGGTGCACTAAACTCAGTGGGGTCTCCTTCTGAGCAGGCCTGTATAGGACCTATATGGACCTGCATAGCATATCATGAGCGGAGCCGGCAGAAGCTGGGGTTCAGACTAGATGGCCCGGGAAGCCACTTCTGACTGGCTCAGTGTCTGTGTTTCTATGATTGCACGCCAAAAGGCACCAGAAGGGCAATTTTCCCCCAGGTTGTACATTTACACGTAGATTGAAGATGAGCAATGCAATAGTTTTGAACAGAAATATTCTTCCTCTGCAACCTGGACTGATCAGGGATGGGTGCATGTTTTCCTGTTTGCACAGGGTCTGGTGAGCCTCAAGGAGACGGGGGCAGCTTTGCATGTGGTCGAGCAAACTCTGATGCAACCGGGACCCCGGACCATGTTCTGGCAAGTCCTGCAGGAGGAGGATGGGAATGCAGATTCTTTGGGTAAGCCTTTGATCTGCTTAGGAATTCAAGCAAATATTGCCATAGTTGGCATCTATCTGGAGAGCCAATGTGGTGTTCAGAGGGCAAGACTCATACTCGGGAGATTCGGGTTCTAGTCCCCTCTCTGCCACAGAGCCAACTAGGTGACTTAGGGCCAGTCACAGATGCTCAGCCCAGCCTACCTCACAGGGATGTTGTTGTAGGGATAAGACTGAGAGCAGCAGGAGGAGAATGTCGTCAGCCATTTTGAGTTAGTTATAAAAAATAAGTGGAATATAAATCTAATAAATAAAAATAATCAGATCCGAGAAAGGGAGAAATCTTTTTGCAAAGGGCATCTCTCTGCCTCTGTCATATCTTTGATAAGGAACAAGACCTATTCCTCAAATATCATGAGTTCTTTGTTCCCTTTGATGTATGGTGGCTTTTTCCTACTGAAGAAAGCTTCTTTTTCCAGTTTTTACTTTTGAAATGCCTCCTGAATGATCAGATGGTTACTGGAAACATGGCAGCCCAAGGGAAAAAAATTGTTTTGGAGAAGCCTTCCAGTGATGGGTTAGGGACAAAGACAAAAGGAGTGAAACTAAATATGCCCATACAGAGATCCCAGCATATCTTAGCTCAAAGCTTTTATTACTGGTAGGAGGGACATTTTAACTATTTTGAATGGAGGGTGGGGAGGAAGGCAGAAAAGCCGGGAGGCTCAAGGGGTGATGGTTGGGTGAAAGGGGTGAGGCTAAGAGAAGGAAGGTGCTTCTAGGCTGGCAGTCCCTTCCCCTTGAATGTAGGTTGCTAGGCATGCAAATAGGTCTGAGGTGGATATGGGAACTGGTATGTTGTATAATTAAAGTACATTATGTACTGTTAATTGTTAACAATATGCGAAGTGAAATGGAAGTATCAGTTGGTCTCCTGGGAAGAGGGTGCATGGTGTTTATTGTTAATTTAGATGTTAATATTATTGATATATCTCGAAGAATATGCATTTGTATTTCAATTGTATTTATGTTTTGTTTAAAAAAATAAAAAGGGGGGGAGGAACTGGTACGTTGACTGCGGGAGAAGGTACTAATGTCTCTCCTAAACAAAGGCAGGCAGTCCATATTTGACATAGCTATGCAGTTCACGGTGGTTAAGATTCGACTGGGGCTTCTCTCCCGCCTTAAAAGCCACACCTTCAGTCTTTTATCTCACAATCACTTGTGATGGCGTATGTGATACGAGTATGACTTTTCCCAGTTCTGTACTTTCTTTTCCTCATTTACAATTTATTGAGAGGTAGTGTAGCGTAATTGCTGAGCTAAGAATCAAGAAGTTGCCAGTTCAAAGAAATTAGGAGGGTAGGTACTCAAAGGAGGGCTTTCTCTGCGGGGGCGCCCAATTTATGGAATGCGCTCCCCAGAGAGGTCTGCCTGGCACCGTCGTTATTTGTTTTTCGGCGCCAGGCGAAGACCTTTTTATTTAAGCGTCATTTTAATTGTTAACAGTATTTGCTTATTTTATCTGGCCAGGGCGACTTCTTTTATATTGTTATTTATTTTATATTGTTATTTGTGTATTTTTCTTCATGTTGTGAGCTGCCCCGAGGCTTCGGCGAATGGGGTGGCATAGAAATGTTTTAATTAATTAATAAATAAATAAATAAATAAATAAATAAATAAATAAATAAAATCTCACCCCTGCCCCCAACCTGCTCTGTGGCTTTAGGCACGCCTCCAGCCTGCAGCCTCAGTCTTCCCATCTGCAGTATGGGGGAATAATAAATACCGGCTGTTATAAAGAATACAATTTGATAACTCATGGGAAGAGCTTTGAACAGTTGAAAGTACTACGCAAATGCCAACCATAGTTAAGTGAGAAAAAGACAAAAAAGTAAGGCAGCTTTTTGTGTCTGTTTACAAATAATTGTCTCATCTGTCTCCAATCAAGAGGGATTCTTGACACCTAAGGCTGACCTCTCCTCCCATTCCTCCAAAGAAGAAATGTTCCATTCCTTCCCGATCGGTTGTGAACGACACCCAGGCCGAGAGTCAGGTAATGCATACGTAATAAAGCATAGAACCAATAGACAAACAGCGCGAGTAAAATACCAATTAACTGCGACAGAAACAATTATAAAGTGGAAGCCACATCATAGTCCATTATGAGTCAGGAGAACATGTGACAACAGCTTCTGCCTCTCAAATGACAACGTATTTCTGCACAACAATTGCTTGGAAAAGCGTCTCTCCAGTCATGACATCCGAAGCTTTACTCCCCGGGAAGTTCCTCCTGCTCCTTTAGGATTGGCTTTCAGACTGGATGGGGAAGGTGGGGCCGTTGCTTTTCCTCTGGGGGCCATATTGCTTCTGGGGTAACCTTTGGGGTTATGTGTGCTGCTGGTGGGGGGAGTCGATACTGGCAGGAGGCGGGGCCAGAGTAAAAGGTGGGTGGAGTCACCTCTTGCCCCCTCTCAGAGGGGGCTGCTGAGGAAGGGCAGCTTATACTCGTCAGAGGGCTGAACCAACTTCAGGAAAAGGGCAGGGGCTACGGATTGCCCACTACCACTTAAGACCCCAGACCAACTCGGTCTGCTTCTGGTGAGCTTTTGCCCTGATGACCTCTGCTTAGGCCACATCGATCAACACTGCTTCCAACAATTCTTTATATGTGCGTTCATTAAAATATGTCTCTTGTCTTTTGGAGTGCCTTTGATATTTTTTGTTAGCCAGGTCGCAGACTTTTAAGTTGACTGATGGGTTACAAAGCATTAAATTCATTTATTTTTTAAAAGAAGAAAACACGTTCCTAAGCCTTCTTTGATTTGTATTCATATTTTAAATGTAATTTATTTATAAGGCGTGTTATGTTGTGCAAAGGGCTGCACGTTTTAAAAACTGCATCCCTGGATAAAAGGAGAGGGCTGATGTGATTGTAGCAATGAGAAAAAAATTGCTGAAGACACATCCAGAATTTGATTGAGAGGAGACTCTCAAGAGAGCCAGTGTGGTGTCGTGGTTAAGAGCACGGGCCTGGGACTCAGATGATCTGGGTTCTAGTCCCCGCTCAGCCATGGAGCCACCTGGGTGGCTTTGGGCCAGTCATAGACTCTCAGCCCCACCTACCTCACAGGGTTGTTGTTGTGGGGATAAGATGGAAGAGGGGAATGATGTAAGCTGCCTTGAGCCCTTTGAAGGAAAAAGGCAGGATATAAATCAAAAAATAAAAATAAAAAAAATAAAAAACTGTGTCAGAAGGGAAAGCCAGTGGGAAGGTGGTCACGGGAGTCCAAAGAAGATGGTAGCAGAGCATGGAAAAAAATCCTCTCTCTGTTATTACAGGTGATGGCCAGGGAAATTTGCTCAAGGTGGAGAATTCTCAGCATGGAGAAGATGAGCTGGAGGAAACACCTGGGGCAGCTCCCCCAGTGAGCCATACAAATGTTCCACTGACGGCTGAGATACACGAGGAAAGATGTGAGTCCAAGAGGGGGCAGGAGAAGGAGCCTCTAAAAGCTCAGAATGAATTCAGGGCGTTTTCAGAAGGTGCCGGAGCTGCTGGCAGTGAAAAATACCCAGTGCACAGAAGGGGGGGAAAGACCTGGTTTTCCAGATACGGTAGAAAATACCGCCACATATCAGGAGTTGTTGCAAGACATGCTCAGGGCATCCAATCTGAAATTGTCACCGTGGGCGAAAGCTTCCAGCAAAATTCAGATTATCCAAGAATACATCCTGGAGAAGAATTGAACAAATACTCTGAGTGTGGAGGAAGTTTCTATCCAGGAATGCATCTGCTTCGACATCGAAACAGCAGTACAGGAGAGAAATCTTATGCTTGCCCCGAGTGTGGGAGAAACTTCTCTCGTCGATCGCATTTGATGACCCATCTCAGGATTCATACAGGGGAGAAACCGTACAAGTGCCGAGAATGTGGGAATTGTTTTATTCAGAGTATAAATTTGCTGAGGCATCAGAGAATTCACACTGGAGAAAAACCACACAGGTGCCCCCAGTGTGGAAGAAACTTCTCTCGGAAAGATCAGCTGCTCAGACATCAAAGAACTCACAAAGGAAAGCGAAGCTGAGAATGCCCCAACAGTGTCAATTCCAAAGCTGCAAAGATTCACGATCAGAGAATCCTTGAGAGAACATTAATAGCATTAATAGTTTAAAAGAGAATAATGAGAAAATATATTCTATATGGCAATGCTTACATAGCTCAACAAGAGGGAGGGGCTGGCATACCTGGAGGAGCACTGGGGTTCTTTGGCTTTGAAACATACCTTGGTTTTGAAAAGCACACAAGCAACCTTAGAGCACAATCCAACACATGTTTTGAAAGAAAAAACCCCCCACAATTCTCAGTAAGCCTGGCTGGAGCATGCTGGGAATTGTAGGACTAAATATGGGCTGTTTCCATCTAAATATGGGCTGTGCCCGCCCCCAAGAGAGCATGCTCCGTTGCCGTAGGATGCTGATTGGCTATTCTGGGTAGGCAGAAGGATACCGACTGAGAGGAGAGATGGAATGGAATGCTCCACCAGAGGGCGTGGCTGGCAGACTGGAATAGCAGACTGGACTATGCCACTCTATGGTTCTTCGGTACAGGTCCCACTTGTCCTTTTCATGGGATTCCCCTCCAAATGCCTATGGGAACTCGAGTTACAATGGTGCCATTGCTTTTTCAAGCCCATTACTGCCTGCTGGACTGGGAACTACTCTCTGAATGTCATTTCGTTCTCATTTCCTTGTATGCACCGCCATCCAAATTCACGGTGGCAAATCAGTATGGAAAAGTAAAATGTGAAAATCCAGTTTGAAAGCAAGCTAAATCTGTTCCTTTTATCTTTCTGTAATGGTTTTCTGGAGCGGAGGGGATGGGGGCGGGGGTGGGTGTCATTGCTACCAAATTCAGTGGTGGGGAGATCTGGAAAGTTGCAGGTGATCCCAGAGCACCACCCCCAAGATGGCCTTGGCTTCTTAAGATCCTTTTTTAGTTGTCTAATTCTTCCAATGCTGAGAAGTGGGGTTAAGACCATGTGGGGCTGAGCCAGGGAAACAAGCAAAATATCCAAAGGGAACATTTCTTTAAATGCTGAAAAGTGGAAAGTCCGCAGGACAGTGGGGGAAGAAGCCACTGAAGGGTGTGTGTACTGAACTTGCTGAAAAAATAATTTGCCAGACATCCTCAGTGAACTTTGGGAGTGGGGAGGCAATACTTTGGATCTCCAACTGTGCTGCAGCCCAGAAATTGTTAAAAACTATTTGAGAAGTCCACAATAAACAGAACTTTCAGCGGTTTCATAGCCTAATAAACACCAGAGAATCCAAACCATGATCAACACCAGAGAATTCAAACAGGAAAGAAATTATACCAATGTCCATAGCTGGGAGATGTTCCAGCCGGAGAGAACTGTCAGACATTGTGCTTCAAAAAGAAATAGTTAAAAAGGGTGATGGGGAAATGGTTCATCGAAGAAAGAGCAGACTGGCTGTATGGGAAGAAGATGTAATGAATGTCCGAAAGGTGGGAATAGCTTTGTGTGAAACACTTGCATTGATGGGGTGCGAAATAATCCATATTGAAATATACCTGTGTGGATGTCTTCTTCGTGGCCGTTGGGTTCCTTCAGGGAGATACTTTGCTGAGACATCAGAAAATTCATAAAGGAGGCAAACACAAATGGAAGAAATGTCTCTCGGGTAGATTAGCTGAGTGAACCTCATGGAGTGGGCCTGGGAAGCAGAGATTTCATGAACATTTTCTTCGGAAAGTTACAGAGATTATAGTTCAATGCATCCTTGAAAGGCACTGAGAATCTATACTCCCTGGATCAGTGACTTTTTGCTGAAGGTTATTCTCCCAGTGGAACAGATCCTGCTCAGGGATCCGCTTTTGGTGTCCCCTGTGCATTTCAGAGAGTGTCAGATTCTACACAATGCTTTACGGACCGATTTTCAACATGTTATCAGAATGGGCTGGGTCTAGTACATCGGGACAATAGTCCCTGTACAACTGAATGGGAATAACAAGTAAATATTTTTTGAGAACTGCTGTGGTTGCCGTCATCACTTTCTTCCAAGGCATTTATTTATTTTATTTATTTATTAAAACATTTTTTATGCCGCCCCATTCGCCGAAGCCTCGGGGCGGCTTACAACAATAAGTTAAATAATTATAATCATACATTAAAAATATAAACATTAAAATAAAAATACAAACATACAATATAAAATAAGCCGCCCTGGCCAGATAAAATTCAATAATATTAACATTTAAAATGCTGCTTAAATAAAAAGGCATTCTGACAGCAGTTTCTGTAAGTTTGCTGAAACCCCTTGGAGGACCAGAGATTTTGGGTTGTCCCTCAAAGCACAATTCCCAGGATTTATTTATACATGTATTTATAGGTCGCCTAAAACTGCTGAGGCCTTCCTAGGCAGCTTAACAATACATAAGCCTAGACTTATTTCCACCCCCTTTGATCTGTCATCCAACCTAGGATGGAAGATTGCGGGTTGGTCTCCACTTAGTGCTTTTCCTTCACATAGAATTGGGGGAACTTGCAGCCTTCCAGATGTTTTGCAGAATCACATCTGCTTCAACGGCAATGGTGAGGAACCTGAAGGTTTCCAGTTGCTGTTGCTCTTCACGGTCCAGCATCTCCCACCACTGCCTTTGATGGCTGGGGCTGATGAAGAAAGCTGAAGCCTTATAACATCTGGAGAGCCATATCTCGGCACTCTCTTTTCCGCTGAGCTAGATTCAGTTCTGGAAAATAAGCCCAGTCGTCTTGGCTTGCTTCGTTGTGCAAGCTGCACAATCCAGAAGAGGAATCTGGAAATGTATTGGGACATAATGCTCAAGGAGAAGGTGACGCTAGAGATGGGGTGGTGGTGAGGAGATGAATTTAACAGAGACAGCCTGAATGGAGATGTTCGGCAAGATGTCCCCCATCATATGATCAGTAGAAGCAGAATGAAAGACCAGCAAGAAGGAGGTTGCACGACTCTTAAGCAAGAAGTGACCAGAGCATAGACAAAATTCCTCTCTCTTCTCTCTTCAGGTGATGGGAAGAGAAGCTGGATCAAGATGGAAGATTCTCAGTGTGGAGGAAAAGAGCCAGAGGAGACCCCGAGGATCCTACCACAGATTAACCAGGGGAACATTCCTGTGGCAGCTGAGATGCCCAAGGAACGATGTGAGTTCATCAGGGGAGAGGGGAAAGAGCCACCAAGGGATCTCAATGAATCCTGCAAGTTTTCAGAAGGTCTTGGAGATGCTTGCAGTGAGAAATACACAAGGCAGGAGATGCCTTTGTTCCCCAAGTATGGTAGAAAGTACTGCCCCAGACCGGGAGTTGTTATGAAACATTTTGAAGTGGTCCAGTCTCGATATCCCACAGTGGGGGAAAGCTTTGAGCAAAACACAGCCCATCCAAGAAGACACACCGGGGGGGAATTGTACATAGGCTGCGAGTGTGGGGAGAGTTTCTGTCGAAGAGCAAATTTGCTTCGACATCAGAGCATCCATCCAGGAGAGGGAACTTATAAATGCCGAGAGTGCAGGAGGAAGTTCTTTCGGAAGTTGCATCTGAGAACCCATCTACGGATCCATGTGGGGGAGAAACCTTACCAATGCCTTGAGTGTGGGAAGATCTTCATACGGAGTGCCCATCTGATGAGGCACCTGCGAAGCCATACCGGAGAGAAACCGTATGAATGTCCTGAGTGCAGAAGAAGCGTCATGCAGAGCGCCCATTTAATGAGACATCTGAGAATCCATACTGGAGAGAAACCTTATGAGTGTGCTGAGCGCGGAAGAAACTTTTCAAGGAAGGATAAGTTACTCACCCATCAGAGAACTCACTGAGAACTTGCATGCTGGTTTGGGTGTAGGGTGGACGAATTTAAATTAATTAATTAAATAACTTGTGAAAGTCCTGAGTGGGGGGAAAGGTGAATACCGGAAAGACATTTGAGGAGATGTCTGCGTATCCAATCCAACCTTCTAAATGTCATGGGCATGGAAGAAATGCTTTGTGGAAGGATGAGTTGCCCTGATGGGGGGACCTGCACGTGACTGAAACATTTTGGGAGTGGGAACACTCTGGTTCTAGCTCAGTGATTCCAAACCTTGGTTATGAGTCCGAATTGAGCCCATTCATTTCTATGGATCTACTCCAGGTAGGACTAGCATTGTCTACAACCATTTGGCTCCCCTACTGTTGATGCACTGCAAGTCCCATGTTCCCTGACTATTGCTCATGATGACTTCAGGGAGATGGAAGAGTGCCAATCCCTGGTTAGCCCAATCTTGCCTGCCCGCCTGAGTGGTTTTCCAAGCTTCAGTTAGAAAGCTCCATGGATTATCTATTCAGTCCTCCCAGTACAGCATTGACCAAGTCTGTACTTCTCTAATCGCTTACTGCCTTGTTAAATGGCATCCATGAAGGACACCCGGGACAAAGTTTGCTCAGGAGTCTACTGTTGGCTATCCTGATGATATTCTGGAAAGTGTCAAATTTTACACAAAGCATGCCAAGGTATAAAAGGTCACCTTGTTGAAAGGAAGTGAGCTGTGATTTGAAGCACAGGTATTGGAAGTCATTCCTGTAGGGCAGGGGTGTTGAGCCATCTTCAGCCCAAGAGGAGAATTCAGTTCTGGGAAGCTGGTGGTGGTGGGGAAGTTTGTATTCTGGTGGTAAAGGTAAAGGTTTCCTCTTGACATTAAATCCAGTCATGCCTGACTCTAGGGGGTGGCGCTCATCTCCGTTTCCTAGCCGAGGGAGCCAGCGTTTGTCCGCAGACAGTCTCCGTGGTCATGTGGCTGGCATGACTAAACACCACAGTGCATGGAATGCTGTTACCTGCCCACCGAAGGGGTACCTTTTTATCTACTTGCATTTGCATGCTTTCGAACTGCAAGGTTGGCAGGAGCTGGGACAGAGTACAGGAGCTCAACCCATTGTGCAGATTCGAACCGGCGACCTTTCGATCAACCAGCCCAGTGGCTCAGCAGTTTAACCCACTCCACCACCTGTGCTCCCAATTCTGGTGGTGGGTGAGCTCAAATGGGAAACCGGGTGGGGCAAAAATCCCATTGTTTCAGAATTCCAGCAGGAAACCCTACGCATTGGGGCAAATCAACTTGCCGCAGCTCAGAAGCCATTTGTAAAGCACCTGCATCAGGATTAAGCAGCAGGGAAACCTGAAGAGCAAACAGAAGAATTTGCCTCTGACAAACAGAAGCGTTTCCATGCAGCATATGCCTACTCAGAAGTAATCTCAAGACTCATCGTCTCATCTCCTTGCAGGCCAAAACTCTAAAGCGGAAGTTTCAGATTTATGTCCTGGCCAAAGACTTGTGAAGAAAGCTTAGCAGTGAAGGAGGATCCCTGCCTCCACCAATTCTCCCTCTCGGTCAGCATCGCTCGATGGAGGAAAGTGATGGATTTTTAAAAGCGACTTGATCAGATTTCAAAAGTGTGTTCAGCAGCAGAGGGACCAGGAAGCAGAAATTGGATCAATTCCCCTCTTCCTTCCCCTGAGCATCTGATCTGAGCAGGAAGAAGCAAAGAAGAATTTGCAGAAGGTAGAAAGAAATCATTGACTTGTCACCAGAACACAAATGTTAATCTCCCCCTCCCAAAACACACACACACACACACACACACACACCCAAGTGGCAGGGAAAAAGGAGGAAGTGAAAGGAACCACCTCGTGATCAGTGACTGGGGGCAGAGGCTGGTAATCGAGGAAACACTTGATGATCTGCTGACTGGCTGGTGATGTAGGTAGGAGGTGTGGCCACCTCTGGACCCAGGGTAGCTCTGCATGCCACTGGTTCCTCATCCCTCCCATTTAGCTCGATGGGACCTGCAGATAATATTTTCAGATGAGCTATTTTGCTTATTGACACTTTCTCCCAGGGAAGCAGCACAGCACATTCTGGGAGCAGTGCATTTTTGTAAACCTGATCAGATGGCCAGGGGTCTGTGCCATAATATCCTAGGGTTTACATATGGAATTGTTCCCTTCCCCATTTGACAGGGAAACCGGATGGTGATGCTTAGTTTATAGGATGGCAGAGAAAGTCTGCAGTTCTCAATATAGCTCCTTGCTTCCTTCTCGGATTAGTGAATCACATTAAATTCTGCCCACTTTAGGCCATGTGCCTGGATTGGCTTAATTATACAAGCCATACCTGTCTCTGGAGCAGAATATGGGTTGTTCTGGCACATCCTGTTGTATTTCTTGAAACAGCTTGGGGAAGGAGGGAAGATGCCGTGACCCTGTGATTCGGGAGTCCAGCAAAAAGGAGGTTATAGGACTCCTGAGCAAGAGGTGACTAGACCATAGACCCAAAACCCCTTTCTTGTCTCTTCAGGTGACAGGAAGAGAAGTTGGATCAAGATGGAGAAGTACCAGCTGACAGAGACCTTGCCAGCGGAAACGCACAGGACATTAGCCGAAATATCTCAGTGGAACTTTCCTGTGTCAACTGAAAATCATGAGCAACGATGGGAATCCAGAGCAGAACAGCTGGAGAAGCAGCTGCTGGTGGCAGGAGAGAATGAATCCAGCGAGTTCACCGAAGCTCTCACGGCCGCTGTTAGCAAAAGTTACACCATGCAAACGGAGGGGGAAACGTTCTTGTTTTCCAAGCACAGCAGAAAATGCCGCTACAAACCGGGGCATGTTACAATTCATACCAGAGAGATCCCATATAAATCTTCTACTTCGGGAGAAAATGTCCAGCAAAAGCGATCCTTTGATCAACATCATGGGGCACAGACAGGTGAGAAACAATATGAACTCTCCGAGTGCAGGAAAGACTTCCACCGGAGGGAGGATTTGATTAGCTATCGGAATAACCACACAGAAGAGGAATCTTTTGGATGTAAGGAGGATGGGAAAAGTGCCAGTGGAAAGAGAGCATTCAAACGAGATCAAAGCATTCAAACAGAGGGGAAGAGATACCAGTGCACTCAGTGTGGCAAGTCCTTCAGACACAGACAAACACTGACGAAACACCAGAAAATCCACACGGGAGAAAAGCTGCATGAATGCCTCGTGTGCGGGAAAGGATTCACTTCTCGGGAGCCTTTACTGAGACATCAGAGAATCCACACAGGAGAGAAACCCTATGAATGTTCTCAGTGTGGGAAATGCTTTAGACAAAGGGTACATTTGATGTGTCATCACAAAACCCACACAGGAGAGAAACCATTCACATGTCCCGAATGTGGGAGAAACTTCTCCCGGAGAGATAAATTGATCAGACACCAGCGGATTCACAGGCGTCAGCGGCCTTATACACACCCAGAGTGTGGGAAGAGTTTTGATCAGATAGTGACGCTGGTCAAACATCAGAGTATCGATGAAGGGCACTGAGAGACTGTACACTTCAGGAATGTGTGAGTGTTGTATAACTTCCATTCCTTAAAGCGGTTTAGCAAGTCGTCAGTCATTGCTACAGATACACCAGAGGGGGAGCCCGACCCCCGGATGAGCATTTAGTACAACCTTTGACATGCAATAAAGGATATGCATTACATGGTGTTACACAAAGAGGTCTGTTTTAGCATCCCCCTTTCCAAAGCACTAAAGGGGTACAAGAATAAAAACCACCCGTAACTTCTGTGCTAAGAATAAGAGGGATAAATCCTTCAATGAAAACAGAGACTGACTAAAAGAACTATCGGAGGAAGATGCTAAAAGAGCAGAATACAGACATAAAGAAGATGCACAAATTCCAAAGATCACCATACTATAATGGACTAAGCCTTAAAGCCTGGCGGGGGAGGGGGAACAAATTGTTGACTTGGGCAACTAAAATTCCTTTTCCTGGCTTCCTTCCAAATGCCATTTTGAATGCTGGGCAGTGAACTTGTATAAATGGGCTGTGGGTGGGTGGGTGTGTCCGAGTGAGTGGGGTGCACACGCAGCCCTAGGAAGGTTACTCATGGGCTGAAAAAGGTTTCCCACCCCTGAACTAACCAAGAGGGATAAACAACCCACCTGCGTGTGGAGTGGCTAACTCTACGCCTTGCCAAAACGAGGGGCAATGCTTCATGGGGCAGGAGAATGAGGACCAAGGAGGTTGTGATTTGGCATGTATGAATTTCCATGCATTGATCACCTGCATCCTGACAGCTAGGGCAGAGAACATGAGGAAGAGCAATCTTCTGCATTCTCAACAGCCAGCAAACCCATACCACAGAAAGAGAAAACTAAGGTGCAGGACTTTGAAGAGCTTATGTGCAAGGGAGGGTATGGGGAAATTCCACAGGCAGACAAAGCCCCCTGTGTTCTCCTGTTCCAGCAATAACCACGCTCCTTCCATGGAGAATCGAGCGACTTCAAGATCATCTCTGCAGGGTGGGCGGGTGGAATGCAGGGAATTCACACAACCATAGAAAATCCTGCTGCTTTAATGATGCTTGACGAAGATCAAGGCTGGGATCGGCCACACGGCTAACCGACTGGGCTACCTACTCTGCCCCCCAGTACTGAACTCACGTATGACATTTGTGCAAACACACACAGGGTAAAACAGTGCACCATTGTTTTTATTTCAGATATTTGAGATGGATTGTCTGCATAAAGGAAGTCACAGTCATGAGGTCAGAAGAGCTAAGCAGGGCTTTTTGCTCTGGATATTTTGGAGGGCTTAACAACATTTTGGAGGGCTTAATAACAAGAAGGATTAGTGGCAATCTTCCCATTTTTTTGGAAGTGTGAGAATCCCAGAATCTCAATTTGAGAAGGGAAATAAAACTCGGGTTTGTGGGAAAGACCAAGCATCCAGACCATCTGAGGCTTTATTGTATTACCCCAAGGTTCCCGTGATTCTCAGCGATTCTCAAGATAATGCATGCATTACCGATTCTCAAGATAATGCATGCATTACCGGGCAGGCAGAGGTGAACTCTGCTGCCAAGCTTCAATACTATTACAGGGCATTTATAGGTACACAGGTACAGGGCAATTGTTGACAGAATGCAGAGATTACAATGAGATTCTGAGGTCATCACATACAGAACAGATAAAGAAATGTCTGAGTAACAATGAGATTACAATATTTCTAATTGCCTGTATTGACACTTTAGTTCAGTAGCTTGAACCCATCTCCAGGTCTGCTTGGACATGTAAATTCAAGCCACTGAAACTGTGCATGAGCTCAAGACTCTTATCTAGACTCTAGACATTCTGAATTGGCCAGGGCACATGGAGCCTCTGGGCTAGGAAGATACTAGGAATTCATTGTTGTTGAATTCCAACAATGACTATTTAATCATTGTGAAGGTATACAATGTAAATTCGGACTAAATGGCCTGTGTACTGTAGCTTACAGCTAAAGGTGAGAGAAAGGAGCGGGGGAGGAAGGCCATTTGAAACTGACTTAGCTTGGTTTGAGAAGTACAGAATTGATCCCACAATGCAAAAAGCACACAGAGGTAATGTTTTTCAGACAGGAAAATTTTCCCAACAGAAGCAACTATTGTATACTATTCTATATCTTCTATGATAGAGAACACAAACGCAGCCACAAGCGTCCTCTTTTATAGCACACGGACTCAGAAAACATACTTTGAAACTGTCTCATGTGCATGCACAAGAGAGAGGGACCACAACGGCAACACAATTACCAGTGAATGCCTCCCATTTCTCACTGGAAGATCTGAGCCAGTCACTCAAACTAACCAACCTCACAGGATCGTTGTGAGGGTAACATAGAAACAGAGCAAGTCAGAAGGGGCTTCCTGGACCATCTAGTCTGACCCCCAGCTCCAGCCGGCTTTGCTCACGACATGCCTACCACGTACATGTCCAGCCTATCACCGATGGGGCCTCTACCACCACCTGTGGAAGCCCCTTCCACACCCTCAGGGTCCTAACTGTCAGGAAGTACTTCCTGGCATTTAAACTGAACCTTGGTTCCCTGAGCTTTGCTCCATTGAAGCATGTCCTGCCCTCCTCTGCAGGGGAGAACAGGTCTCTACCACCTGTGTGACACCCACTCACATACCTGTGTGTCACCAACAGATCCCCTCTGAGTCTTCTCTAGGATGAAGAGACCCAGTTCCCTCAGTCTCGCTTCATACAGCTTTTCCTGCAATCTGCCGCCATCCTCATGGCCCTACGTTGTACTGTCTCTCTTGCTTTTTGCACTCCAACAGCACTTCCCATTCTGTAAAGATCCAAGCACCTTTAAGGTCATGAGTAGGAAAGTGTAATCCACAGAACTGCACACATGAAGAATCCCCACAATCCCCCACAGAAAGCCTGGGCACATAGCAGAACCCCCAAAATCCACCCTTTTGTAGATCCACCACAAACATCGCCCAAACCTACGTGCCTATTCACTGGCAAGGAACTGCACAGCACAAAAATCCAGTCTGCATAGATTCTCCCGGTAGAAGAAAAACTTAACAAGTGCACTGCAAAAAACATGAAGAAAGACGTTTCCCTTCTCTGAAAAATAATTTAGGGTGTGATCCTACACGATTGATTTAGATAGAAAAAAGTACTGCAAATTCCAGCCAGCTTGGTGGAAGTTCTCAGATGTTTCCCTGCCTTAACAACCGTGGGATCACACCTTTAAAAAACTCAAAACTAAGTTTTGTGTTGCTCCAACCGGTTCTCTCTCTCCCTTGGCCAAACCTGTTCTTGCTCTGCAGCTAGCAGGCAGGGTGACCAGCTGCAGAATGAGATTTTTAAAAAATTGCTCTGTTGAGTAACATGCCCCATGGCTCGGTTTAACGGCTCTCCCTCCTCTTGCATCAAGAGAATCTCTTTAATTTGTTTTTAATGGCAGGGCAGAGGTCCCCAACATAGTGCCCGTGGGCACTACAACACACCTGGGTCCTTCCAATGTGGGCACCCACAAAGTTTTTTTAAAAACTCTTTTTTTATATACATATAAGGATTTGTATATATCCATAGCCATGAATGGTTGTTCTATGTGCTGTTAAGTCATCTACTTATGGCAACCCTATGAATGAAAGCCCTCAAAATGTCTTCTCCATGACAGCCTGGCTCAGCTGTTGTAAATTCCAGGCCGTGGTTTCCATAACAATGAATCCATGTGACTTTTATGAAATACACCATCTTGCTATTTCCATTTTATTTATTTATTATTTATGTATTACAGGCATTTATATCCCATCCTACAGCCAAGCGCTCAGGACAGCTTACAAAATATAAAAGTACAATATAAAATATAAAAGTACAATATAAAACCTCAATTAGTAAAACAATACAAAACACATCATAAACTTAAGAAAAAGGAGGAGAAAATAGAAAGTGCGACTGTGAAGGGAAAAATCCTAAAACATCTACAATTGTAAACATCTACAATTGTTGGCTATTAAAATAATGGTTGAATAAAAAGGTCTTTACCTGGCGCTGGAAAGAGTATAACGTCGGCGCCAGGCAGACCTTTCTGGGGAGCAGATTCCATAGTTCCATTTTTTTCCTTGGTGTTTAACTCCTTTCCCTGTTTCTAGCCTCTTTCCCTCTTTTCCTAGACCGCAGCGTTGCTGCCACTCCTCCTCAATTCCCAGCCCCAAGCCTGGCCATTTCTCTCCTCACACAGTTTTACGTCACTGTTTATCACCCCTTCCAGCTTCACTATTTCCCCCTTCCTACCAGTCTTTTTCCTGCTTGTTTTTCTCGCTGCCCCTTCCTCCTCGGCCTAGCCAAGCCAAGCCTCCATGGCAGCCATTATGTGAGTTGCTGCATCCTCCATGGCGACCATTTTGGGGTCAGGCCCACAATATTTTATCAAATTTCCATTGCCCCCAAACCTATCCAAGCATGTGTGAGTGTCACACAGCGGCAACTGTGCCTCTAAAAGGTTTCTGTTTGCAATTTGCCACTGCCCCCCCCCCCAATCCCATCAATTGCCACTGGCCTTCAGCCATTACTTTTCATTACTTGCTAGTGTCAGAATCCCAGAATCTCAATTTGAGAAGAGGAAATAAAACTTGGGTTCGTGGGAAAGATCAAGCGTCCAGACCATCTAAGCTTTATTGTATTAACCCAAGGTTCCCGCGGGTCCGTACTCACGATAATGCATTACCGGGCAGACAGAGGTAAACTCTGCTGCAAAGCTTCAACACCATTACAGGGCATTTATACTCTCTTGGTCACGTCACAGGTACAGGGCAATTGATGAGAGAATGCAGACATTACAATAAGGTTCTGAGGTCATCACATACAGAACAGACAAAGGAATGTCAGTCAATCATACAGTGACAATTTTACAATATTTCAAATTGCAGTATATTGACGCTTTAGCTTTGTAACCCATCTCCCGGTCTGCTTAAACATGTAAATTCAAGCTACTGAAACTATTCATGAACTCATAAGCTTATCTAGACTCAGACCCTAAGCAATGCATCTGCACCATTCTGAATTGCCCAGGAGGAATGCAATTTTAAACAGTTTGAGAAGGGAGTACAGGATTGATTCTACAATTTCAAAAGCACACAGAAGCAATGCTTTTCTGACAGGATTTATCCAAATTTTCCCAACACTGGGCACACCTCATATATGGCATAGATCAAGGGGAAGCGGTCCCTGAATTTTTTGGATCCGTATGTGCAATTGGGAATTTGTGAACCAGCGCAAACTGGCTCCCATGGAGGATGTGGTGAGTCACATGCTGACTAGCCCACCCTAAGTGTAAAGGAAAGGGAGGGAGGGGGGAATGGCAAAACAAAGGGATAAAGTACAGGGAAAGAACAAGGAAAGAGCTTGCATAGTGAGAGTGAGATCCTCAGAAATTGTAAGACTCCAAAGACTGCGTGCAGATTATTCTTAAATCCATATAGGATCATTCCTTTGGAATACCAAGATTATTCCCAAATGTGCAAGCTTTTGGGAGCCAGTATGGTGGAGCAGTTAAGAGCACAGGACTAGGACTTAGGCAAGCTGGGTTCTAGTCCCTGCTCAGCTATGGAGCTCCCTGGGTGATGCTGGACCAGTCACAGCCTCCCTCACAGGGTTGTTGTTACAAGGATAAGACCGAGAGGAGGAAAATTATGTAAACTGTCTTGAGTTCCTGGAACAGGAAAAATAATGGGATATATATAAATAAACTCCAAATATCTTCATTAGGAAAGAGGGTTTCTTCCCCCAACCCCCATGCCACAGACTTTCTGATAAGAAGAGGAAAGCTTGCAAACGTGAGAGTGATCTATTTGGTGGCTTTTCCAAATTAGATTTATATCCCGCTTTTTTTCTTACAACGATCCGCTTACAGCATTCTCCTCCTGCTGCTCTCCATCTTATCCCCACAACAACAATCCTGTGAGGTAGGCTGGGCTGAGAGGCTCGAGACACCGCAAGAGCGTGCCCGGGCTCTCCCCTCTCCGCGCCCCACTCGCGGGCCAGGGGGCCGCCCGTGCTTTCCGTCCTCCTCCTGGGTTTGTGCTCGGCGGATTCAGCCGTTCAATAGAGGGCAGTGGCGGCGCTCGCTTCGCCTCTGCAGCTCGGCTGCTGAAGCCCCGCCGAAGACGGACGAGGACGAGGAGGAGGAGGAGGAGAAACGCGGAGAGGCGCCTGGGAGCTGCCCCGCGAAGCAGCCTCGAGTGGCCGCCCGCCTTCGCCTTCCAGCCGCCCGTCCCGGAGGGTGCGGCCCGCGGCGTCCCCGCGCGGCCGCTGGAGCAGCGCCGAGGAGCCCCGAGCGCGTCGCCGGGCCCGGAGAAAGTGAGTCGGAGCGGGGGGAACCAAGATGGAGAAGGCGAGCCGCGCCGCCTGCCCATCACGTCCCGCGCTTAGGGGCGAGTCGCCTCGCCTCGCCTCGCCGCCGCCCCCGAAGGGGGGCAGTGCCGGGAGAAAAGCGGACCCCCCCCCCCCCCCCCCCGGGGGGGGGGGGGGGTGGGGGAAAAGGGAACCCCCCCCCCCCCGTCCCAGGCGAGCTGCGGGGTTTGCAGAAGTGCAAAAGGCGATTTTAAGCAAGGCTCAGGCAGCCCTTCCGCCTTGCGCTTCCTCGGCGACCCAATGAGGACGGAGCATGCCCAATAACCGGCTGCATCTCTGGAGGGATGATTGTTGCATTCATGTTTTTTCCTCTTGCACATGAGCCTCCTCCTCAGGAGTCTATCCTCACAACAGCCCTGTGAGGTAGGTTAGGCTAAGAGGCCGTGCCTGGGCCAAACCCTCCCCAGCGAGCATCATGGCTCACCCAATGAGGTCTGGCACCCGCATCTCCCTAGTTCCCCTTCAGGACTCTAACCACTAGGACACACTAGTTCTCAGGAGTGCTCTGGGGAGGAGAAGAGCAAGAGGATGCACTGCAGCATTTTGTTGCAGTGGTCCTGGTATGCCAGCAGCTGGTGCCCAGCTGTCTGAGGCCACTTCCTCTCATGGACAGGATTGCCCCAAGGAGTTCCCAGCGCACACTCGGAATTGTAAAGGACTTACCTTGCAGGGTTGTCATCAACTAGCAAACTCCTTAGCTCAGTTCCTCCCCCCCCCCATACACATTTTATTTATTTCTTTATTTAATAAAATTTGTATGCCATCCATTACTTGCATCTCTGGACTTCTTACAACATTTTCTCTGCAACTTGGAGAAAGCACCGGTGAGATGGCCTCATTTTGAAAGCCTTCTGCAAGGAACAGCTCAAGAGTTTCCTACTCTTGCTGGGCAGGCAGGTTTAGGCTTAGGCTTGGGCTTGTTGCTGGTTTTTGCGTGCCCACCAGAGGCATCCCCCCTACCCCAGATTAGGATGCTAGGATTAAGGCCTAGGATACTGGTCTGGATGGACCCATGGCAAGGGGCCTTACTAGCCCAGAGAGGCCTGAGTGTTTAATGGAAAGGCTGTTTTTTCTTCTGCTCAACTGCCAGGTAGCTCCTCTTACTCACATGTCACAATATCCCTTCATAAACTCGCCTGCATGGCAGTGAAGCTTAGGAAAAGAACCTTTTCTGTTGGTTTAGTATAATCTGAGGCAGGACAGAAATTGAATAAAGAATGTATTTTATATGAGAGTATTTGGATAAGAAATGAGTTGGCTGGCTTCGCCTCCCATGAAATGTAAATAAATTGTCGTAATTATTTCTACATCTGTATATATATATAGATCTACATTAGTATTTGCAGGGGGGGTTGCAGATTTATGTTCTTTGGACCCAAACCTCAAATCTTTTATGTGCCTAGCAAAGCCCTGTGAGTCAGTATAAACTTCCTATGCTTCCAAGTCCCTTGTGGCCTCAGTTTTCCTTCCCAAATCAGAAAAATGGGGGTCATATTTTTGGACTGCATTACAGAGTAGTATCATAAATCACTCTGTCTCAGTCTTCCCTAGCACATTCAGAAGGGGCAGAGCAAGGGATAGCTAACACTCAAAACTCTGGTCTTTTTAAACAGTGGGAAGGGTTTTATGCATTTTTATGCTTCTGAGCACCAAAAGTCTTGGGATCAAGTGGAAAAGTGAGTTCACCCTTATGACGATTGAGCTCACCCCACAAAAAAAAAAGGAAGGAAAAAATGAGGGTCTTGCCCCAAAGGGAGAGTAAATCCCATCAACCCCTTTTCAGGAGAACAGATCACACATGTTTTTGCCTTCACTTGACAGTTCAGCTTTTGACAGCTGTCAAACCAAACCAAGGGGAAACAGCTGTTTGGAAGCCCTCTGCACTTTGGCAGCAGGTACCTCCCTGTATCTTTTGTATAGCCTGAAGTGCCTGATCCTGCCTCATCTGGGAAGCTCAGTAGGGTCAGGCCTGGCTGAAACCTGAATGGGTGACTTAAACATTGTGAACCAACCAAAGAGCTTGGTAGAAAAATGTAATGTAATGAAATTGTAATGAAAAATACTAATAATACCTTGCTCAGGCAAGCGTGCCTATTTTCACATATTTGCATAGGGAAAAATAACAATTCATGGCTATGGATATATACAAATCCTTGTGTGAGTGTGTGTGTGTGTGTGCAGGGAGGGATTTTTTTTAAAGAAAAGTATTGTGGGTGCTCACAGGAGCTAATGGGAGGTATTCTATCTGCAATCAGTTTCTCATCCATAAGCCACATTTTCCTAAAGGCCAGTAATGCTGGTTTCTTTTGTAATGGTCTTCTGTAATAGTCTTATATTATGAAGCCATCCTAGCTAGCCAGTTTTAACATAATCAAGCCATTTAATTAGAAAACTTCTGTCCTAGACTGCTTAAAAGGAGGGGGAAAGGACCAGTTACAACATGCACCTAATTATTTCTGTTTGGTGGTTATTAATCTGCTGCAAATAAATTCCAAGCTAACACTGGGTGTTTCCTTCTTTTTCATGTATACCAATAAGATAACTGTTGGGTCTGATGATAGCTCACAATCTAGCATAAATTTAATTCTTTCCCTTCCAAAATACTACTCTAGGACATACGTTAAAAATGTATGTCCTAGAGTATACATTTCCTTCTTCATGGTGCAAACATTGATCTATTTGTTCTTTGCTTGTAAAGAAAACCGTGCAAGTGTAAGATAACCATGCATAGATAATCTTACACTGGTTCTCCCTAATATTTGAACACTGTGATAAAATTGGTCCTTCATAATTATTAATAAATTCTAGCTGGCAATCCTATCTCCTGCTACACTCCTTCAGGATTACTTCTTCATAACAGCTTAAGTCCTTAATACTTTTTCCTTTCTATTTAATTACAGAATTGCAAATATTGAAAGCAGTGTGGTAGTTGTTCACCCATTTTTAATCTTAAAGTTGCTACACTTAACCAAGTTTCATATGTTCATAACATTATTATGTGTGGAATCAGCTCCCCAAAGAGGTGTACTTGACACCCACTCTTTGTTCCCACCAGTGGCACAGGAAAACCGTTTTTATTTTCCCAATATTGTAATAGTGAGATTTTTATTTCCATTCTTTACTGTATTCTACTACTGCACATCTAGATTGATGTAGTCGCAGTTGGGGTGGGTGGATCATTGTCATATTGTCATATTGTATTTATTTATTTATTTAGGGAACTTCTATGCCGCCCCATTCGCTGAAGCCTCGGGGCGGCTCACAACCATAAATAAATAGAATCCTATAAAGCAATATAAATTATATTATATAAAACAATATAAATAAATAATATTAACAATTAAAATAACGTTTGAATAAAAAGGTCTTCGCCTGGCGCTGAAAAATAACGACGGCGCCAGGCAGACCTCTCTGGGGAGCGCATTCCATAGATTGGGTGCCACCACAGAGAAGGCCCTCCTCCGGGTACTCACCCTCCTAATATCTTTCACGGAGGGTTCCTGGAGAAGGGCCTCTGCTGCAGATCTCAAGGGGCGACTGGGCATATATGGACGTAAGCGCTCCTTCAGGTAACCAGGACCCAAGCCGTTTAGGGCTTTATAGGTCATCACCAACACCTTGAATTGGGCCCAGACTTCAATGGGAAGCCAGTGCAGCTGATGGAGGACTGGAGTCATGTGAACATAACGCCCCGTCCCCATCAGCAGCCTGGCAGTTCTATTTTGAACCAATTGAAGTATCCGGACCGTCTTCAAGGGCAGCCCCACGTACAGCGTGTTACAGAAGTCAAGTTGGGAAGTCATCAACGTGTGTGTCACTCTCGCCAGACAGTCGTTCTCCAGGTAGGGGTGCAGCTGATGGATCAGCCGAAGCTGAAAGAAAGCACTCCTCGCCACCGCTGTCACCTGAGCTTCTAGTGAAAGCTCTGGGTCGAGGAGCACTCCTAAGCTGCGGACCATGTCCCTAAGAGGGAGTGCAACCCCATTCAGGACTAGGTTCAATTCACCTTCCCCGAAGCCCGATCCACCAACCAACAGGACCTCCGTCTTGTCTGGATTGAGCTTCAGTTTATTGGCCCTCATCCAGCCCATTACCTCAGCCCGGCACTGGTTCAGCACAGCCACTGCCTCACCTGGATTGGCGGAGAACGAGAGGTAGAGCTGGGTATCAACAGCGTACTGATGATTCCGCAGCCCACACCTCCTGATGACCTCGCCCAGCGGTTTCATGTAGACGTTAAACAGCAAAGGGGACAAAATGGATCCTTGCGGTACTCCATGGCATAGCTGCCATGGCGCAGAGCCATAGTCCCCCAGCACCACCTTCTGGAATCGGCCATTGAAATTGGAGCAGAACCACCGCCATGTGGTGCCTCCAACTCCCAATCCCGCTAGCCTATCCAGAAGGATACCATGGTCGATGGTATCGAAAGCCACTGAGAGGTCCAGAAGAACCAACAAGGATGCACTCCCCCTGTCCTCCCTGCACAGGTCATTGTACAGGGCGACCAAGGCAGATTCAGTACCGGGTCTGAAGCCGGACTGAAATGGGTCCAGATAATCAGTCTCATCCAAGAGTGCTTGGAGTTGTCCTGCCACCACCCACTCCAACACCTTGCCCAGAAACGGGATGCTGGCCACTGGTCTATAATTAATTGTTAAAACATATGATCTGGCCAGGGCAACTTCTTCTTCCTTCTCTTTCTCCTCCTATATTTTTATTTACTTATTTTATACTGATAATTTTAATTTTATATTTGTAACTCAATGTATTTTTTGTATTTTTGTATTTAATGGTAATTTATTATGTTCTATTGTATTTCAATGTATTTTATTGTGTTGTAAGCCGCCCCGAGGTTTTGGCAAGGGGCGGCATAGAAATGTAATAATAATAATAATAATAATAATAATAATAATAATAATTAGTGGCCATCTCTGGATCCAGTG